TACTGTGTTTGTTTTTGAAATGGGTACCTGTTACCAAATCACAAGTGGCAGAGCCAGAATACAGCCTATTGGCAACCATAAACTTGTTTTATGAAGCAACAAAATATTTCTGTTTCTCCTGCAAATTTATTAGCAAATACTATCAAGGACAATAGAAATTGAAAAAAAAAAAAAATTACTTACTGTTCCCCAATTTAAATTTTAAATTGTATACTTCTCTGAGCTTCCTACTTAATCATAATTTAAAAGATGCTTTTGTGAATGCCTAGAATATACAAACCAGAATATTCAGATATGAAAAAACTATGTGGATAGCCCAAGAACACCTGTCACAAAAGTCATGACTCTCAGTATTTCTCTGCATAGTTGTTAAACTGTATTTCTCACATATAACAAAAAACAATGTGCAACATTAAAAAGCAAGCTAAACAATACCAATATCGCATTTAATCAGATTTTTTTCTACTTTGCAGAAAATTCTGAAAGCTTGCTTAACTATGATATAAAAACTACGTATTTGATTTCAATATATATTTGTGTCAGTGGCTACCTTATCAAATATATCAAATACATTTGAATACACAAATACATTTGAAGGGTATTCAGCATTTTACACTTTTGAACTTTCAGAAGTTAGTTCTAAGGCAAGCAATCACTCTTAGTTCTTGTCTTAGAAGTAAAGATTTCAAACTGTGAGAAATTTACAAGCTTTAGAAGTTCATATTTTATAATTCCATATTACCAATGGATTCTAAACCACTCGATCACCTGACTTCAGGTTTAGCTGCTAAATTACTCAGTGTGAACATAAAAGCCTATGGATGTGAAAAGGTTAGTTTCAGAATTTTTCTACACCAAAACATACAGTAATATACGCACTTCAGTGAATTCAAGGCATCAAAACATTAATATTGTAGGAAATGAATTTTTTAACATACTGGATGAAATAATGAAAACACCTTGCTAAACAGAACTTCAGACTCTAAGGACTGGTTCTGTAACAAGACTTATTCATATTGACTTTTCGTTAGTCAATTAATTTCCCTTGGTACATGCTGACTAATATGGTTGCTAGTCCTTACCAGTAATAAACACAGCTTCAAGTTCAAAATAAAGGATGGCTTAGTGTTACACTTTCTCCCAGTGAAAAGAAGAATCTACTCTAAAAAATATTAATTAAGTGATACAAAATTGGGAAGAACAGGAACAGAATTATGAACATCAGTTAGTATTTTGGGAGAAAGATATTTCTGGATTTATTAATGATTTCCAGTAAAAAGAAAAAGAAGAAAAATACAATAGGAAAAGACTTCAAATTCTAATTCAGGGCTTTTGCAAGTATAAAACAGTGACATTAAAGTCCTTTAAGTGACACTCCCTTGCACAAAAAGTTTTTTTTTTTTTTTTTTTAAATTAGATACTAAAAATGCACAGATTATCAACATACAGATAAAGAGTCCTTACTTGGTTTTAGAATATTCCTTATATTTGGAACGTGTAACAACACATTAAATCCCTCTTCAGCCTGTCTTCCTTGATCAATGTTAAATTTAAAAAATAGAAGTAATTTTCCCTTTTCAAACGCACCATCTGATTTCATAGGCACAATGCATTTTGAAGAAGCAGTAAAAAGACTTGAAAAATAACCTTCCATCAACTATTTTAATCATACTCATAAGTATCTCAATATTTATTATCTGACAGACAGTGTAAGATAAGAGTATGTTCAACTGGTAGAAAATATCAATCAAGTAAAACCTGTCACACATCATCTGAATAAAATTTATAATTGAGTAAGTTTTTAGTGTCATTTTCTTGAAATCCTCTTCCAGAATAATATATACCTATTTTTGTGGTTGAGAAAAGAGAATTTTCTTTTTTTTTTTCATGCACTGCTTGCACTACAAGTTTCATCAATAAAACACAAAGAATCTGTATTTTTTAGTGGACAATTTCTTTAAATTATCCTGAAAAAACCCTCTCTGTACACAACCAGATTTCTTTGTAAATTTGTATATTTTACCAAAATATAGCCTTACAGAAGACTGTGAAGCCCTTCAGTGTCCCATCAAACTGGGTGAATGAGCAACATCTTTGGATAAATGCAATTCAAAGTTATTAAATCGAAGAAAGTAAATAACTGGCATAATGAAAGAGCTACATTGGTGGATGTGTACCACAGAGGAGAAAAGCATCAAAAAGAAAATCACTTTTTAATGTTCAGTGGTCATCAAAGAGACAAAGCAGACACTAAAATGTATAAAAAGTGAACAAACCATAATAGCATTATTGTATTACATTACTGTAACAAAGTAAAATGTAATTAAAAGTGTTTAAAACAGATTTAAGAAGCAGTATGAGAAAAATTACAAAACAATCTGAATACAGAAAAGATAAAATAGGGATCCTCATGAGCCTCTTTTTATCGTCTCATCAGCCAAGAACAAAGACAGAATTTATGAAAAGTAAAGGCAAAATTAAATTTTCTGAAAAAGAAAGAAAAAAGGTAGACTTATTTTGTGAAAGTACAAGACTGAAAATATTTAGGAAAATATGCAAAAGAAACCAATCTTGAACTATAGATACATACATTCCATATCTATATCTATCTATCTATCTGTATCTGCATTATTCATATACTACATATAAAAAATTTAACTAGTCTGGTTTGGAAAGATATTGTCCCTGTTGAAAATCAGTACTACCAGTTGTGAGTTTTGTTTCTTTTTCACCGGAGTAACTAGTACTGGGAGCTGGCACAGACAAGGCATGGTATGAGTGACTACTGAAAATCTAGTTTTCCAAGACAAAGGAGGTAAAAATGAAACTATTTTTCTGTACATCTTATTCAGCCAACCCCTTGATTTAATTCTGATTTTGAACTTTTATTTATTCGTATGGCAATTATTCATGTGAAGAATTTACTTGCATACCACCCAATTAATACAGCTGGGAAGTCAAAGATAACAGAAAATACAGAAATAGTAGTTTAGGGAAGAAACATGGAATTTACTACATATTTGGAAAAATAGTGTGTATTTTTCTATGCCTTCAGTGTACTGACTTTAAGATTGCACAGAGACAGTGTATGCTAGAACTTACTTTGATCAAATTATATACATATACAGAAATGCACTTAGAAAAAACCCCAAACCCCTCTCTCTTACTCTCTTGGAAAGAAAAGATATTTTCATGACTTTTTTAATCCAGCAAGAAACCTCAGCAACAGAATGCTGAGTAGCTGGGTTGTGAGAATGTGAGCAGCTGCTGTTATTATAACTAAAGGTCTGTCTATGGCTTGAGCCTGAGAGACCACATGTTCGGCTGTCCTCTCATCTTGCCATCCTCACCAATTAACTATTAACATGGAGGGCTGTACACATGCTCTCAGGGGCTCTTTAACAGGCTTCTTGGAGAGTGGAACAACTACACAGCAGGGCTCTGGGAACTGAGTAATGTGGGGTATAAGGAACCCTCAGCAGCTTTGCTCCTCCTAATGACAGTTTTTTCCGTAGTTTAAAGGATAAAGAAGGATACATGAAGTTTAATAATTTCAGAAAAATTAAATGCTCTCATTTGTTCAAGGCTGCTAAGCAAAGATTCTGGGAATAATGTTTCTTTGCTGTTTTTTATTCAATACAGTCTAGCAGTTACTGTAAAACAATTCTGTGAAAATTAAAAAATCAGTTATTTAAAAATCAGACATATTATCAATCTTAAATCCATTCCAATCAATTTATATGGAATTTAAATCACAAACCGAAAAGCAGCCTCCCAGCTGCTAAAATCTTTGTCCTTCAGTTTGCTTCTTAGAGATGCTTCTGGATTTCTCTAAAATATGATCATACTGTTTATCAACGTAATTTATAAAAAAAGATTACAATGAAACTGATTTTACATCCCAATTATGGACAGGTAATTCCAACATGTAAAAAGAAGGGTGCTAGTTTTACATTCACAAATTCTATTAATTACATTAAATTTTACTGTCAATCTTTTTGAAGACAAACTGCCATCTAATGTTTAAAAATAGCTGAGTAAGGAGACGGAGGTTTGCACTGCAAGAGGAATATTCGTACACTTTTGATTGCAATGGTAAAATTAGAAAATCAATTTTCTATATTTTCTAAGGAGTAAGTGCATCAGGTATCTAGATAAATAACATTTACAGGTATTCAAACACCTTTACAAAATGCAATATACATAAGTAAGTGGTATGTACTTTCCTGATACAGGATTTAATCTAATGATAAATTCATCTACTATGAAAACACTTTGAATAATAAGAGGTTTTATGCAGTACTTTTTTTACTATAGTGAAATCAAATTAATATGTAAAATTATAGATTCTCTAGTTATTGTGAATAATAATTTTGCTTTTTTAAGTTACATTACCACTTTCAGATAAAAAATAAACCAAAAACAAAAACCCCTCAAACCTTATTGACATTTTTCTTTTTTTAGTAAAAACACTTATTTCCAGAAGATATATTTAAGTGTCCATATACTATCAGGATAGGTGCTATTAGCAGGTCCTGATTTTGCAGTTGGGAAAATTACTCGGATAATGTAACTGGTTTGCTCCTGGTGCCAGTAAATGGGGATATTAGAATTAAAGCGAAAACCTGTATCTTTCAATTCCTGGCTTTAAAACAAGACTGCACATCATCATAAGGAGCATGACAGATGAATACACTGGACTGAAAATGTCTTGTAGGCAAAAAAAAAAAAGGGAGATTACCAGAATTCTCTTTAATTTTCTACAGTTTCTGAAATTTTGCATAACTATCTAAGACAGTTTTATGCTTAGGTCTGTACAGATGTTGCAGCATGCTGTCCCACAAAAGTATATAAACACTACAGCAAAATCACATTTCAACAGCCCTTTGAACAAAAAGTTTCCAAAATGTCCAAAACTGCATTTATTTTCTTACCATAAACTTCCCATTCTTGCTAGCTGATGTGTCAGCTATGAAATATAGCAAAGAGAGAATTCCTACCTCAATAAGGTGAGCAGGTATGGTAATGATACAGGCTGACAAAGACTTTCTGAGGAGGCCACGGAGAACATACAGGAATTTTGTAAGGCTATGAATATCTTCAGGAGTATCACTGCAACAAATATCATCACCCCACAACAAAGAGCCCAGACTCTGAATTCCTATCCGCAAAATATTCTTTTGTTTTTTCTATTGGGAAAAAAAAAACAAACAAAAGAAGCCACTTCTGATTTTTTTTTACACACTAAGAGGAAAATTTCATGTAATGTATTTAAAAAATACAATGCATAGAATTCATATCCGTAATAGCAACACAGTTTATGTAATCATAGCTTAATCTCAGATTATATTATAAAAATTACAAATGGAATGGCATTTTATTCACTGACTGGTTATCATACTATGCCAGCTAAGCAAATACAAGTGTAAGATTCAGAAATACCAAACTACTAATCAGCATATTTTAACCTGCTAAATGTCAGTATATTCCGACACAAAATCCAATACTACTGTGATTTTTCATGTCCTTTCTCTCCTCCCTAGAAAACATGCTAAAGAATCTTTTCTCCCAGTTCTAAACTGGTCTGCTGGAAAGGCCTGAGATAAATCAAAACACAACTTTTCTCTCTATTTTCAACTTTCCACTGTGTTACTTTCACAACCTGATTATTCGTCTGGCTTCAGTTTCACTTCTGCTACTTCTAAAGGAACAAGGTCAGTGGTCTATCTCACCAGAGTATGCCCCTTTCACTATTTTAGATGACTTTAAGTATCATCTATATTCCTGTTAATTACTTCCAACTACTGAAGGAAGGTTTACCCACAGCTATGGAGAAACTGAGTCTGATGCTGATGTCTGAGACATCGGCAGATTGTCTCTTAAGGACCACACCTTTCTGAAAGTCCTTGACATAAGTGTGGATCTACTTTGTTAGCTACTGGGTACTAGAATCTAAGCTGTTTTGACATGTAAAATCCTAAACAGCCACTTGTGTTACCTGCCTAAGACACTTTGCTGCCCTGCAGTAGGCAGAAGAGCAGCCAACAGACGCAGAGATCCCTTTTCTGAAGGGGCAGATTATGAAACCAGAGTTATAATTTGTTTATGCAAAATAAATGCCATCTCTCATTTCAGATGATGACACATCCACTTCTGCTTATTTGATGTGACCTTTCCTGGTGATCTTTGAGAAGGATTTTAGGTATATTTGCTATCAAAGGATGAGACACCCTTGTTGAAAGACTTCCTGTACAAGATGATAAAAAATACATTTCTAGAATTCAGGGTTCATAATTAAAGGCTTTTTAAAATTTTATAAAATACATACACACACATATATGTAAATACTAGTTTTGATAAATAAAAGCTTCCATGTACTTTCATTACAGTGAAGTCCCTTGATAAATTGTAGATGTTCATCTCCACCAGCTGGAATGAACAGTAACTCTTAAGCACAAAATACTGCACAGCTGCTCTGGACATCCAGAGGAAAGATTTGGACAAGACAAGAGGCTACTCTTACAAATACTTCCTTTTCCATAGTGGGTAGACAGAGCTTGAGTTGTGAAACACAGCTACTACCACATGGCTGTACACCCATCCCACTCTCATGGCGTACACAGTGAGCTGATCTGCCAATTCGCTCACAATCTTTGTGAAAGCAATATATATTTTAACTCTGGTGGACTCCTTACTCTTGGGCTTCGCAGGCTTTACTTAGGTAAAGTTAACTTTTTACATTACCATATGAAGACCAGGAAAACAGCACAGGATAATATGACACAATTTGACTTCTCTGTATGGTATTTGTTAGGCTTGGATGCTCAGAGTTGTAAAAAGAATAGGGAAAATATAAGCTAGACCAGTATTCTTTAGTGACTTTTAATCAGGGCAGATTCACACATTTCTTGATGTGTGTTTAAACCATAGTACAGTATCAGGCATTTAAGAAAACAGCTTTATTCAGTTATAATTGATATTGACCATGCAGAGAAAGTGTTCTGGGATTTCAGAATTTCAGAGCAAACATACATAAGTCTTACAGAAACTTTTTAATGAGAAAAATGTTTTTTCTTAAGGACATACATTACAACACCCAAAGTATCAGTTCTCTTACTGGACAAAGGATAAGAGATGCTTGTTTCACAATATTAAATTGTAAAAATTGTAAAAGACATAGCTATTCAAACACCAGATATCGGATGTATTTATTTTGGCCAGTAACAGAATTTCTACTGGTATAACTGTCAGGCCCAATGGCTTATTCCATAACTGAAATATAAGAAAAGCCCAAGTCTAATATTCTATAACAATAAATCTATGGTAAACAGTAGGATAACTTTTTTTTAGATTTGCCACTAGATCTTTTTACTGCCATTAGCTTGGAAATTTGGATTTTTGTTGTTTGTTGTTTTTTGTTTTTTTAACCTTTTTCATGTAATTTTTGTAAGAATGTTTGCTTTGGCAGCAAGAATTCTGATTATGAAGAATTAAAAAACCCAACTCCAAGTGAACAAAAAAACAGTCTCCTCCCAGCTTTATCATTCAAAGTCACCCAACTTGAGCTTCAAAGCATACCAAAGTAATGTTAAGGACATAGAGTTGCCTAGGAAAGTTCTGTTGTCATACATGAAAACCCCTAAATATACTCAAACAAGTGCTCTCCTGTATGACTTCAAACTGTGCTCAATTTATGAAGAATTAAAACTAATGATCAGCAGCAAAGAGTTCCTAGGAGCTTTTAGAAAGGATGTAAAACTGATGCTCGTATTTTTAGGTTAGTCATTCAAACCACACATTTCCAGACAGATCTTGGCTGTGTGAACAAACAAGTCAGTACTTTGGTTAACTTCAACCAAACTTTTCTGTAGCCTAATACCTGTAAACAGTACCTATTGTCCAAAGGCCCTCAAAGTCATGCAGGATAGTTAAGAAATAAAAATCTACAATGGCAAACAGCAGACAGTTGTATAAAACTAACATTAACTCATATTGCTAGGTTCCAGAGATGCCTATTTTTATCAGTGGTCTACTAAGCCTCTAATAGCAGTTTTCACTAATTTTCCTAATTGTGTCAAACCTCTGAGAACTGGGGTGAGCCACCTTCTGCTCACTTTTCCTCAGGCCCCTCTCCAAATACTGGTCAAAAGTAGTAGGAAGTCTGAGTATCATAGGCCTACTAGCGCGAAATTAGCCAAAAATATCTGAAAACTTTACTAGTCAGGTTAAACTTTTCATAGGAATCCTAATCCAAGAAGCAACACATTTCTAGACCTCCACAATCTAGAGATACTGGAAGGATTACACTTCACAAGAAAATGAAGCTTTAATGGCATCAGCTTTTGTCAATCATAGACAGCGATTAATGGATTTTAAAAGGTCCATTAAAGTCAGTAAATAAATTTCTTGAAAATTCAGTACGTTTTGCTACATGTTGGCCTTTGCAGTTTTCTCTGAACTTCATGAAAGCCACTGCAGCAGGACCCACCCAAAAGGAAGATCACTGTTTGGGGGTGAGAAGAGCATATATGAATAAACTTCTCAAAAGCTTGGACAGGACTCAGGTCCAGAAGAGTACAGGCTGGTCCTTACTCTACAGTCTTCCTATCTGGCTACTTAAAAAGTACTTCTGAATGTTCAGTAAGTAGAGAGGTGAACTTCTCAGATTTAGAAGATAAAAAGATCCAAGGTATGTTCTGGGCCACAACAACATTTAACTCTGGATGTATTTTTAAGAAGTATCATATTCTGCTTCTAAATGTATGAAATTTGAGTGTACAAAGAAAGATGACGCATGGGGAAAAAAGGTAATAGAAAGTAATAGAAACCACTCTAGGAAATCATATGCATATGCAAAATGTAAATATCATATGCATTGAAAAATTATATGCATTGAAAATGCATATTCATTCTCTTGAAACAATGAGGTGAGCACTAATGGTTTTCTAGATGGATAAACTGGCCTGAAAAGGGACTCTTTTTCTACTTTTTAAAACTACACCTCAGAATCTTATATACGTAATTTAGTGAACATATACTTTCAAATTGATCAGTATTAAATTGATCAGTACTGCTCTTGCTTTATTGACACTTGTAAGACATTTTTAAACAATGAATAACAGCTACAGAAAATAGCTATCCAGGATGGTTTTGCTTTCAAGCAAAAAACCAAAAAATACTGGCTCTGACCAGCCTTCATTTTGTTTTACTTGTAAAAAAAAAATTCAGGGATAGACAAAGAAAAATAAGAAACACTAGCCTAATCTCTTCAGTATGTGGTGGTTTGCAGGCTGAAGGTTGGCAGGGTGTTTGTTTCACTCAGTACTGCTCTTTGCAGCTCTCAGACAGGACCTGTCACTCTGCAGGAGAAGCATCTCTGCAGGCGGAGTCGTATGGAATGACATACCTGTTGCCATGGCTACCACAGCACGGGGGGGGAGAGGTGTCTGTCAGGGACTAATTTACTTCTCCAGACTGGCACTGCCACCAAAGCAAAGGCAGGCTCTCCCATAAAGCTCAGCAGAGACTAAACACTGAGCACCAAAAACCTGAATTTACATACAAGTGTTCTGTGCAGGTAATGTTTCTAAAACATACTGTTAGACACAAAAACATCCATTCCAACATTATCTTCCCCATAAAAATTATTTCTAAGATATTCAACTATAGTGCACAGTGAGGGTCTCCCACACCTATACTTCCAAACTTTATTATAGTAACATTGGTATTGTACAGTAAAGACGATTTACCTGTCAATTAAGCAGCAAGATATATAATTTATTATTTTATTCCCATTAACTCCAAAGAATTTGCATATTACTGAATATGACAAAGAATAATAGATAGGGCTCTGCTCAAACTAAAAAAAGGGCTTTCAGCCTATGTTGTTACATTTAAAATGTTTTTTATTACCCACAGTATGATTTATGAAGAGTACAGAGATTATTAGAAGTCTGGTAAGCCGTTTTGATTTGTAAGTTGAAGTAGCATTCTTATTTCTTTACTTGTGTTTCAATGCTTGCTACATAAAGATGCATGCCCTTTAATTCATTAAAATATTCACTCCACTCCAGTTAAAATAACATTGAAAAGAACTGAAAGTTTAAGATTAAATGTTGAATCTCAACAGTCTTGAACATATTATTGCTAAAGCTGTAGTCTGAAAAAAAATTACTGTAGGGGAAAATGTGTTTTGCTTAACTAGATTATACTTGGCAATCCATTTATTAGTTAATTGCACAGAATATGCATTTTACTAATGTTAACTTACAGTTCTTCCTCGCATGGTCTCGCATCTGTAACAGGTAACAACTCCCAAAGCATATTAAAATATGAAGCATACACTATATTTACTTTGCTTCTTTACTCTTGCAATCCTTAGAAACAGTTTATTCTTTGTTATTTTGTCCAAGACCTTATGTGCCACCCTTGAAAATTCAGAAAACTACATTAATTACAGGATTACAGAAGAGTACAATGGTCTTCAGTACCTGGGGATCAGAGCCATCAAACCCTTCCTGGTAAATGACCCTCTGAATGGACAGAAGCAGCCTTCCATAAGCACTGTTCATATTACTGTTGGTAAGAAGAAATAGTTTAGTAACGCATTTTAATACTTTTCTACATGTTTCTAACAGCTGTATTAAAATAAATACAAGCAGATGTAGCACTCAGTCTGAAAGCATAATACAGAAAAAAAGTGTCACAGAAGAAAAAAAACTAACCCTCTTAGAATAAAGTTGACATTATAAGCAGTTGTGATTGTTTCATGATAAGTAGTCCAGTGCTCAGACATTTAGTGAAAGCTAAAATCTCTAGGGATTAAGATAACTTAATTACATCAGGCTTATTTCCATCTAGAAGATTAATGTATCAACTTAAAGTAGAAAGCATCATAGCACAGCACCAATCTGTAACTGACAAGGACCTACCCTACAGTTATTCCAAGGAACAGCTGACTTCCTATTACTGAAAAAATTCATACAGACAGCTGCTACAACAATCAAGATCAAAAAAAAACCCAAACAAAACAAAAAAAACAGAAAGAGACAACACTTCCTAAATTCAAAAGTTCATGCAGTTAATTTACTTTATTAGGAGAGTAAGACATATTTTACTATGGTTCCATTTTGTATCCACACACTACAGGTGTTATCATGACAGCTGAATTGTGAGGTAGAATTTATTTTATGTATTATTTAGAAAATACAGCATAAATAAAGCAAACGAGTAGCTAAAAATGGATTTAAGCAGACTTAAAACCAAATGAAAGTTCAGCAAGTTGTCTTGTCAAAATCTTAGAAGGTTCAGTTCCTTGACAACCATCCCAGCCATGCTCTCCAGTCCACAGGCTGATACATACAAAGTACAGAAAGATCTAACCTTTACTTAAAAAAAAGAAGCCAGTTGTTCACTTTTGAAAGAGACATACTATTTTGTTAAATCCCATAGAGAGTACTGGCTTGTATGTCTGTACTTGATGGAGGTTTCTCACCGCAGCTGAGAGTTTAAGCCCTTCTACCTTTTCTAGAATCACCATTTCCTTGTAGGCTCATTAATTACCAGAGGGTTGTGGACTCAAACCTTCTTCTGTACTGCTTGGGAAATATGACAAGTTATTTTGAAAATTTTGTCACTAAAAATACTTTTATTTGCTCCAATCATTTTATATGTCGGGTCTGATGACAGCCTGGGTGGGAATTGACCTTGAAAGATCATCTCATCCAAACATTAATGAAACTATTCCTGCTACTTTAGTAGAGCCAAATATTATTCAAATGTATTTTACTAATGAACACCTAAATAAACCCAAATAAACTGCTTTCATGCTTTTGCACAGGAGGGAAGACAGCTTTTCTTAGAAGCACTTCAGAGTTACAAACGTCTGACTTTTACACCATAGCTTTAACTCAAAATTCTACATCTCCTTCAAGTAGCAATCCAAACTCAATCCCCCCAAATGATATATTTAAGTTACAAGCATTTACAATCAAATAAGCCATACAGTCTTAATAAAGTTCTGAAACACTTAATGTTATAAAACATTATATAACTTGATGTATATAAATTATATAACTTACGTAACATACAAATTCAAGTTTTGAAATACTTAATGTTATAAAACATATATAACAATGTTATAAAACATTAAGATTACCCTTCTCAGATATAAAGAAAAGGGAGAATCTTCAAATTAAACTGCATTTATTTGGTTTCAGATTTAGCAGCCTATAAGGCTACTGGTTAAACTGACATACCTTAATAATTTAACTCTCTGTGAAATTCACAGCTGAAAATAACTGGCAATACATAATCTCAACATGACATTTAACCTGTAAAGCATCTCAAAGAGGAAAGAAAGAGTAAACTTTTTCTTATGAAGTCAACTACTTTCATAGTGTTTAGTTGCAAAAGGGATGTCTGCTAAATGTTATACCTGTACAGTCTTGCAGGTGTCACTTGACAGGGCTGGTGGTGGCAAAGAGGGCTTTAGCCTCCAAACTAGCCAAAGTGTCCTCTCTCTCCATGTCTTTGCACTATTCCAACAAACACACAATCCTTGTTGCTTATGGACTGCTGTGATTTCTTCCTGCTTTTGCCAGAGCTGGAGAGAATCTGCAACACTACACGATAACCAGAAGAATTTGTGTACCCTTTTGGATACTCCTTTATACTTTTGGAAAAAATAGAAGCCGCTGTTCGCCACCATTAGAAAGGAGTCTGCAACTGTCTTTTAGCCACAGCTAGGAACACAGTATGTGTAATATGAAAAGATGACTGTGGTCTTTGTCACCACAAACTACCATTTTCAAGTTTGTGTACCTACCAGTTCTTTTGCTTATGAGTGCTATGCTATCTATAGAGATGCCAGAGAATATACTGCAATCACAATACTTTTCAATTCTTGATTTATTATTAACTTGCTTTTAAAAGTTAATGGATAAAAGAATAAAATACCAGAATTAAAGTGTTCCAAAATTAAAACAAACTCCATACTTGGCAGCATTCAAGCCAGGCTGGACAGAGCATTGGTTGACGTGATCTAGTGTGAAGCAACCCTGCCCATGGGCAGGGGGGTTGGAACTAGATGATCTTAAGGTCCTTTGTAACCCAAACTATCCTACGATTCTATGATTCTGTCTTCAATTAATCCATCCACGAAAGATTTGCAGCAAAGAAAGAATTAAAGAAAATAATGTAACGAATATAATTTTTTAAAAAATGTATAAATATGTGCTTATTTACTTCTTGCTAAAGTATTAATGGTTTAATTGAATTTGAAGCATGCAATGTAAACAAGGACATGAAAAATATTATGGAAACACTATTTAAAAAACCAAGTTCCATTACCCTTCTGGCAGTGTTTGTTATAATATCTAAAGAAGGAAATAAAGATATTTCTTATTTTCTGATTTCTAAACTTTTTTTGGCTTTGTTACTAAACACCATTTAATTCTGATAATGAGTTTAAACAATTCCTTCTCTACTTTTTTCTTTTTGTTTAGCAATTCAGCAATGGATAAAGCAGGAGCCGCAAGAAGGTATCCCAGTTACAACAGAGCGTCTGCATTCTCTGTTGATAGTTTCTCAGCAGTTAACAAAGGTTAGGTTATCAAGGGTATGACAAATAGCTTTATTATGTATAAGGAGACCCCATTAGGGAAGACAGGTAAACCTGTTCTATCTAAACTTATCAGTAAATCTAGACTCTAGATAAATCTATTCTTTTTCAAAAGCATATAATTCTTAGGGTAAAATTTAGGAGTATTACTGAAAAGCTGCTGCTTAATTATTTTAGTTCCCTTGATTATCAAACTTTTCTTCTGGTAACTGCAACTGAATGAGGAGGACAGAAGTAGAGAAGTAGAAAGGAAGTCTTTTCTGCGATGCACAGATATACCATAATGGATATGTCTGCCTTGCTGTTACGTACCAGCTTTAGCAATGCAACAAGGACACCAGAATGTCCTAGCAACAACAACTGGAAAACAGCTGCTGTAAGCCCCACAACCCTGTTGACACGGCCTTAGCAGTAGAGCAGGACATAGCGCCCCTTCCCTAACATAAAAAATATGGAGATAAGAAAGACATTTATCCTTCTTTTGGCACCAAACACCCAGTCCCATTTACTACTTCCTTTAGAATAGATTTCTCACTCTGTTTTCACTTAATGTTTATCATGGGGCAATGAACTTCTAACCATCTTGAGCGATTAGCCAAAACGGGACCCTGTAATCTAATTTACCCATCAGGTACCAGAACTGCAGTAAGATCAACCACAGTACTCCACACCTCCCCCCATAAAAAAGCAGATACACACACACTTGCAAAAACACAGGGAAGAGAAGAAAGACTGGTCCAAACTTTAAGGTGAACCAATGATGTACATAACCTCCAAATCTGTCTTTAATTGCAAAGTAAAAGGCCACTCAATAACTTTGTTCTGTTGAATCAGCCAAAGAATCCACTTTCTTTGCAAGACCAAAAAGAAGCCAAGTGCTTGTGTGGATAGGAAGAGAAGGACACATACATGATTTCTAAAAGGGCCAAGAGTCCAAATAAAGCCTCCCCATCTCTGATCCAGTAATGGAAGCACTGTAATTATCTTGCCTATTAAAAGATGCAGCATTGTTTTTCCAAGGACTGTAAAATATATGTTCACTATAGTCACTGCTTCTGTCAGAAGAGTATAAGCTATACAGAAAACATGGTACATTACTTTTCTTGTGTATTTTCTGCTTTAACTGTATAATTTTATTTTGGAATTATTTATTAACCCTTTGAAAAATTAAACTGAAAAAAACCAAACAACCCCAAACAATTTTTAGAGATTTTCTCTATTTCAACTATTTCTTGTAACATTTTTTTTAGTCCCTTCCAGGTTATCAGTACTTTTTTGAGGTACTGTCAGTCTAATAGATTACAGGGATTTTGTAATGCTACATAGGTTAACAGCATTATGCAACCAAGTGTTTTCTGGGCTATGCATCTAAGACCCTCAGTACGAGAAGCTTATGTTTAGCAAATTATATCCTCTAAGTGGAGACATCCTAATTAGCCATGTTCACGCTCCTAGCCCACTGTTAACACACATCAAAAAAGGTTAGCTCAAGCTCTCAGTGGGACTTTCAGGCAGTCAAAGATGAGGTCTAGTACAAACTGTTAAATTCTATTGGAAGAGTCAACTGTGACTATCATATTGTTTCAAAATCATTGTCTAGTTAATCAATAAAACAGAAATTTTTACTATTTATGATATATTGAAGGTAGCTTTACATGCCGGGAGCACTGTATTGATCTTCCAAGCACTAATGCCTACACAGTAATAATATCCTTTCCCTCCCTTTTTACAAGCTTTTAGGTTAAATCCACCTGACAGGATTGTTAACTTCTTTTCATTCCTCAAGAAAAGAATGCTTCCTTCAGAATTTCATCACAATATTTGTTAAAAATACAGTAGAAACCTAATACAAAAGCATAAACATTTTCAAAGCACTGAGATAACTGGTAACATTCACACTTAGTATTGGATTTAACAGTGTTGACTAATGTGTGTTAAAGAATCACTGAAGATAAGGATGAAAAGGACCTCAAGAGGTCTGACAGATTATTTACCTAACTTATCCTTAGAAATTTTCAGTGATGGAGATTCTGTAACACCCCCAACCTATGTCTGCAAGATAACTTCTTCTCATGTTAATCATGAGAAAAATATCTCATGCTAATTATTTGAAAAATATCTTCTTATTTCCAGCCTGTATTTCTATCCCTACTGTTTACTGTAGCCCATGACTATTTGTCCTCCCTGCAGACAACAGAGTAACTACCCTCTGTATGCCAATTTTTAATGTCAGTTTTCAAGATTCTGCTTAGAATTGTCTAAGAATTTCCATTCTTCTGTCATGGGCCATACATCCCAGTTCTAGATGTACACCTGTCCTTACAACCTTCTCTTACTAATTCCAGAGTTTTCTTGAAGATTGCTATCAAAACTGGAAAGCCTTATTATGGCTGAGCAGAACTATTTTGCATGTCTTCCACATTAAATTCCAGTTTTAGCACTACCATGCTTTTCAGATTATGCTTTTTGGTTGCATTAATCACACAACACTGGTAATACATTTTGAAGATACTTTCAGCGTGCTCAAAAATCTTCACACACACAGTGTGGTAAAAATCAACCACAACACAGCATACCATTTCCAGGAATCAGCCCTATACACCGGGATCCATAAAACTAGGTACTATATAAATTAAGTGACTGGGCTGAACAAAGAGATCGCTTGCCCATATTCGATGTTTGACTTGAACTGAAATGTCTCCAAGAAATATATACTGGATGCGTGTGCTACAGGCTATTATGTGGCTTTGCTTCCGTCACTCATTTTCTCTTATCTTCCTTAATTCATTACTGATAGGCATAAAACATAATAAGTTTTCATTCAGAGAAGAGTTTATGATTTCCTCTGGAATTAGGGGTGTTGTGTAAGACATCATTAGCGATTTTAATCTATTCACAGTATATTTTCCTTAGGTGAAGCTGTAGGATGTAAGCAGTAAAAGTCACATAATTAACTAATGTGATATAGCATCCTAAACTATGTAGGTCAAAGACAGCCTGTCTTCTTAGCCCTAAAAACTGTATGGATATATTCCTAAAACTGATAGCCATATGACACACACATCTCTGAAAGCTGATGGGGTATGGGGTTCAGGCAGTAGTTCACAGAGAGAGTAGTAGTTTTCCCCAGTCCTCACACTCAGCTGTCAGTAGGGCTGGATGGCACATGTAGCTAGGCTGTCCTAGTAATGTCTGCCTTAATTGTCCCTGCCAACTTGCTTCCTCCCTCAGCTAAGGAGTCAGTATACTGAGCTGTCGCTATGCCACGGCAGCTTTGCTGCCAGTTGTGGCATTTAGGACTGACGTAAGAACCACAGCTGAACTGCTTGTGAGCCATGCATGACTACAAGACTTTTCACAGCAAGTGTAGATGCAAAAATATCCTTTACTACTAATATGCAGGCATGTGGTATTACAACTTACCATGTTTTCACTGTAGGCTGTAAAGACAATTCTTCAGGAAGGTAAAAACTGTGCCATTTTATTGACTGAAACAGTTCTGGAGACATTGTTTTGGATATATCATAATAATGACCAAACTTAGTAGATGTTGTTGGGCTGGCCTGTGGAAACAACAATACTGATTACAATAACCTATTAAATTATTATCTGTCAAAAGAAAGTAATTAACTAGCAATACATTTGAAAGAAACATCTGGGGTTTTCCCCACTCTTTTTTTCCTATTCTTCAAGTAGAACAACATTATAATATTTACTACCAAGTTTTGGTACCCCTGTTGACAGATGTGATTTTTTCACAGAGAATTCAACACTTACTGTTGCAAGTTGCATCACAAAGGTGGAGTCAGATTCTTAGATATGTATTTTTGCACATGTTCTAGACCCATGATCACAAACTTCAAAAGGCCAGATAATATGGAATATGCAGACCAGGATGTGTTCCACCTATCTGATTTTTCAGTATCTAGGAATGTCATGTTGGTACAGAAACATTTTCAGTTGACTTTGGAAATATTTCACTTTGTTTATTTATGAGAAAGAAGAAAAAATTACCATTGCATCTTCACAGGACTGCTTTTAATAAAAAACTCTAAAAAAGAGGGAATAGTTAAAAACTACTTTTAATGTCTTGATTGGTTGAGCATTACACAGACATTACATACAATAACCATGGTTTACTGTAATCAAACTTTATGAGGTCTCAACTTTGGGTATATAAAACATCATAAACCCCCTAAATTTAATATGTATCATAGAAGGAATTACACATTTTAATATGCTTTGCTAATAAATAGAGGGAAAGAATGCATATTTTTGTTCCACATTAGTGGAGTTCAGCACACAAACTGCAACATTATTTGAGTCAAACATGTAATGTTAACATCCCCTAGATTGTTATAATATGCAGTAGTACATAGTACATTGAGGTTGTCTGCTATAGGAATTGAACAGGTTTTGCTCTTCATGTAGCAATCCATTTTCTTCATCTTTTCTGTCCTTCAAAGCTATCCTGGAATGAACAGTCAAGCAGAGTAAAGCTGAGAGGCAAATGAGGAACTTCAAGGGAAGGAAAACACTTGGCACAAATGTAAACCACTTTATAGTATTTTTTTAATGAACACACTGTAAAGGAGTAACAGATTATCAAAACAATAGTGAAATTGATCTTTAGGTTATAGCACAAACACCACTGTGCTCTGGATCAGATTCTCTCATCAACTGTTTTAACTCTTTTGAGGAAAAAGAAAGGTCATTTAGAATAACCAAATAAGTTTTATAATACAAATATCAACCAAAACCACGGCATTTCTACTTGGCAGGATGCCAAGACTGAGAAAGGTGCTGAATCCTGGACTTTTAACAGCAGACCACCAATTAGTTTATTTACAGGACAACTACCCTAGGCCTGGACTGCAGGAATATGCAAAAATATTTTAAAGTCATTTTTCTATCTCCTAACTCCAAGACTTACTGTGAAGCTGAATTCCTTTTAAAATCCAAGAGCCACCTCACTTATTAAATGATAAAGTATTAAAACAGATGAAGTATCTCAGTGGTTGTGTAAGAGAACAGGTGAGAGAGATATTTAAGGATGCTGATGCTGTAGAACAGAATGCTTTTGAAAGGTTGTTTTGAAGAGAAGTTTGGATTGGTAGGTAAAATGAAATATTATTTTGTTTGTACTTAAAAGCACGGACTTCCTTTCGAAAAGTGATCAGAAATACCCTCAGTAAATAAAGTTTTTCAATAGGTTCTGTAACAATTTAGAACATTCTATAAAAGGATTTTTCTTTTGAGCAGACCAATATATATACATTTTATCCACTATTTGAAAGTTAAGCAGGGTTGTGTGTGTATGCAACGAATTTCTTTGGAACAACTTCTGCTCCAATCTCCACACTTGCTATTCTTGCTATGTATAGGAATGGCAATAGGTATACTGAATTATTACAGTAATGGGATCTAAGTATTTTTTTGTATATTGAGCAACAAATTATTCCGTTTCAACTCCAATTATTGAAGAAAGCTTGTGGTTTTCATAAACCTTGGTCTTGCTAATAAAGTAAGTACTATAACAGTAAAAAAAAAAAATACAGACATGCCAGACATGGCCATGTATTTATAGTTAGCTTTCTGAAATCAATCATGCCATTTATTTCCACAATTTTGTTTCATGCTTCAGCTTACGAAAACCTGCTAAGATTAATTAGAATAATTTGATTTGGAGCATATACTTTGAAATTATTTGATTAATAGGTAGTAGGCCTGATCAGTTATCAAAGATTATAAACAGCAACAACAATACAATCTTTCCTACAAAACCAATAGAATAACCAAACTAAACCCAAACTTTTCACTAAAATACATAATTAGTTTTTAATTAAAAAAAAAACCACAAAATTGTTCATGTATATCTAGTCATAAGAGGCAGATCAGTTTTCTCAAAAAAAATATAAGAAACCCACATTCTCTAAGTCAGTGCTCCGATTTATCAGTAACTGATTTTTAAAGAAGGAAGCCCAACAAAATGCAACAATCTATCAAACCCTAAATATTTTTAACATAAAATGTAACTTTATTTAAAATGAGGATTCTGAAAGCAATTTAAACAGGGGCTGTTCTTTGGCCTATAATCTATTCTTTATCCGGATTACAGATCAGAATGTTTTTACTGCAATCTCTGCCAGAGCTCATCTTTTTACTGTGTACTTCCAAGCCCCCTTAATGTTTTAGAAAGGCCTTGACTAACTGAACTTTGATCTGATGTCTTCATTGAGAAAAGCTCCAGGTTGCCCATTTCAGATGCAAATCCTTACTGAGACCCAATAGAGTTTAGTAAAGACAGCAAAAAAGAAGAAACAAGAAGTTTCCAGGATCCTCTTTGAGAATCCTGAGGCACATTGGTGTCCTTAATCCACCCTGCTGCATGGATTAAGGTAGGTGATAACCCCTCTTGATTCAAAAGAATAAGCACAGTGCCTACAAACTGGGTGGAGACTAGGATTTGTCTATAATAAAACACCATGCAATAAAAGCTCGGTCTATGTCAGAAGCCTGTGAATAGGCCTCAATGTACTGCATTCCCAGGCTTAGCGGGGAAGCTTGCAAAAAGCCTACCTGAATCAAGTAAGCATGAATAATCTGCCTTAGCAGAATGACCATGGAGAGTGTGAAGCAGAGACTTTCCACTCCTCTTAAGTTTGATCTGATAAATTTATTAGTGGATTGGAGGCTCAAGCCTGTTCTTTCCTACTTTGCACAAGGAGAAATACACTAAACTGTCAGTGAGCAGAGCATGCTTTTATACTACCGTCTGCTGTTAATGTTTCTAATTGCAATACTAATGTGCTAGAAATCTCAGATTTGGGATGAATCAAGGCAGAAAATTGATTTCATGCTGTGACAGTTTATATATTGCCCCAAGAACATAAGCAGTTCATTCAAAAAAAAAAAAAAAGAAAAAAAAAAAAAAGAAAAAAAAAAAAAAGAAAAACCCCACAACTGTCTTGCATTGCAAAATAGGCTGTCCATATACTCAAAAGTTTAAACAAAATTAACCTCTGATACAGATGAAAGTAACAAACTGGCAAAGGCACATCAAGCACATGTTACTCTGAAAAATTTCTTCTCTATCTTCTGTCTTTTTCTGATGTACAAGGTATATGCAACATGTAAGGAGCAACTGTGATAGTCATTAAGAGTACCAATATAAATACCATGCAGAAATAAGGTCTAATAAATGGGAAGGGAACATGTGAACTATTAATGAAAATCTCTTTTATTACTTAGAAATAAAAAATAAATTAAGGACTAAAAAAACCACAAAACCAGCTTTTACTCAGCATTCTTAACTTCATGTAAAGGCAGATAGTGGATGGAAAAGTTTCCTGCTAACTAGAGTTCTAGTTAAAGCAAAGCTATTTTCTCTCTTTCATACTTGAAATTATTTGACAGCAGTTTTTCAGAATGTACTGGTTTCTCATTTCAACCACTTTGGAAAATACACCTTGAAAATTAATTCAATGTTTTGTTTTGTTTCTGGGCTTTTTTTTTTTCAGCAAAAGAATATTTAAAGAATAAATCACAGCTGAAGTTGTTAATTAAATGATACGGCTAAGTGTATCAAACATCTAGGGTGCTGCAAGGCAACATGACATTTTTCCTCAATGGTGTATATTCACCAATCAAATTTAGCACAGCACCAACAACGTAAATAAATCATAAAAAATAGCAAATAAAATGTTGAAAAATATAAATTTCAAACCTATTTTTCAGTTATCAGAATATCCTGAGGAGTTTTAGGTCTAGATGGCTTTAGACCGCCATTTGCAAGTTTTCATTTTTAAAATAAATTTAACATATACATTAAAAATGTTGTATCTCAGCTATTCAGATTGATCGGTATCCATGACTATTCAGAAAGCAACCATGGTAACAAGGGAAATACCCCACAAAAGATTTTATTCTATCTTGCATAATCAAATTTCAGTAACTGAGGATAAGTACATTATGTATTATAGTGAAATATTGTATTAGTGAAAGTGATTACTTCTATGAAGTTATAGAAGATGACTACATATCTACCTGGATTATTTATGTTTTGCTATTTTGTTAGGACATCAGAACACTATTTGTGACCAATATGCAATCAGTTCAATACCAGTGTACCAGAAATTCTGCTAGATTTTAAAAAGGACAAATTATTTTTGGGATGGTTCAGAGTGGCAAAGCCAGCTCCACAATAATAAAATTGATGAGATTATATGGTTACCCTGGAGGCTGTTTGATTTGGTATGTCACCATATATAAGTCTTTTCTGACACAACTATATAACCGTGTCTGGGCAATTTCACAGAAAACCAAACACGCCAAGCCTTGTAAGATCATTTTGTCACATTCCAATTATGTTTTTAAGACTAAGACTGAACTTACTAGGCAGGTATGACTACATCTAAACCAGAATTTATAAATGTAAGCTACAATGCAAGGGGAAAATAAGCTTTTTGTTCTAGATCATCAGAAATGCTATAATTTTGTTATGGGTTGATTGTGCCATTGGATTAAGTAAGAAAGTCACCAACCTCTGGAGGTATATTATTCACAAAACACTAACAACTGCAAACTCTGAAAGACTGATCATTGGGCTTGTTTCTTGTACTCTCCCTGCACAGTGATTAGTTTCTAGTGACAGTGATGCTGATATAATCTCAAGTGCTTACTTCTGCTATGCACATGGATAAGCAGGACAACAGCTTGCTTTCACACCAGTACTTTCACCACAGAGATCTAGTAAGTACTGCTGATTAAACCTACTTAAGCAATTTGTGTACAACTAAATTTGGGGAAAGTTTGTAAGTGACCAAATTATTAAAACTTTCACAACAAGCTGTCTCAATTTAATAATACTAATACTATAATACCATAATACTAATGGAAAAATTCCATGGAATGTTAACTTTTTTTTTACTTTTAAGTTACTACTGTCTGCATAAAGTTTTACATTTCCTGCACTCACAAATTCCCTTCTCTCTGTATCTCTAGCAATCAAAACTACTTTGGTATTTGTGGTGTATGATAATTTGCCCTCAGGAGGCAATCCTGTAAAACTGTCTGTTGGCGGTTCTGTTGTGTAGATTATATGGAAAAGCATATGCTCTGCAAATTCATTTTGACTGCAAGAGGAAAAAAACATGAAATACCTATTACCTCAATTTTTGGTAAATTTTGGTAGCGCCAGGCTATTTTCATAGAATCCTGAAAATCTGCAGACTTAACAGCTGTTGCTTCTTCTCCCAATTCATTTCTTTGCTCATCAAGAAAAGGGGCTGGAAGCTCCTGCAGATGGAGAGCAAGAGAGTGTCAGCTGTTGGTAGAAATGGCAGTTCAGATTTTTATTTCTCTCCCCCTAAAAGTTAGATAATATACTTAATATAATGGATAGTCGCAAATTTCTTAACAAAACTTGATTAAAATAGCTGTTCTGAAATACTGCCTCACTACCAAAACTGAGGGTGAAGAAATACATGTAATTATTATGGGGAAACTATGCAACTATAAGAGAATGCAGAATGGAAATACCACACTGAATATGCAACACATTTTGAGCAACATCCACATTCCCTTTTTTTTTCATCTTGCTTTAAAGATTGATCTCCTAAACTATTCTATTTCTGAGAAAAGACAACTTCACTGCATAGTGAATTTAAGCCTATTTTATAATAAGATCACTTTTCTTTGTTAGCTTCTGTAGATCTTTCAACAGCATTCAACAGACCCAACAGCCTACCGACACAGGCTGAAAATAACTGTAACAGGATGGCTTCAATTTTCTCTTCTCCTAGCCATTATGCATGATATCTACTAATGATGGCTTCCTCATGAGCACAAATAAAGGAATGAAAGGAAGGGACAAATATTTAGTACTAGAATGTTTATCAGAAGGATCTAATAGAAACACTTCTGGCTTTAAAAATAAATAAAAATAAAAAAGAACACTGCACACAGGAGAGTGTAATTGTTTTATGAGGACAGAACTGCAGCTTTGATTTAGACCTAGATTAGGAACAATGCTGTATTACACTCTTCTGCTTTCTATCTTTCTTGCATTGCTGAAAAAGTGAACAACACTGGATGCAATCCAAGCACAGTGTTCAGAATTTATGCTCTTTGACTAGAGGAATGAAGTGCTACCAAGTTTTCTGACCCAACTTTATCACCCATCTCTGTAAACTGGAATGAAAAAGTACTCTTTATCTGCTATAAATAGAGCCAAGATTTATTTGAAAACTAAGTTCATTAAACAAAGACTCTTGAGAGAGAACTGAGATGTAGTCTCAAGGGTTAAAAATATATAGAGCTAGCCGGGATCTCTGTTATAAGGTATGAGGTGTGAAGACATAAAAAGAAAAAAATAAAATCTGAAAACTTCAGAAAAGCAGCTCAATGGAAGTATGGGATACAAATGAAACATAACATAGAGCTGATACGGACCATAAACATCAAATTACAGTCACAGCTTTATGTAGGCAGACACGGTATAAACAGACACACATAGAAATAAGACAACGAAAGTTTTAATCCATTTTGGATTTAATATTAATTCAATATTAAAGAATACAAGAGAGAAAACCTGCGTATAGTCCAGTATGTAATCTTTGGAACAACATGATTTATTTTTGTTTCTTTAGTATAAATTATCATAATATCTACAATTATTGAAAACATTGAGAACAAATGTTTCTAATTTCAGGACAACTGTTTGTCTCTTTCAGTGGCTGGTCAGTATGCCCCCTCAGAGAAAGGGTAATGGAAGCTATGAAAACATTTATGTAGTTGCTTCAACAGTTGCAGAAATAGGACAGCTGTACCCCTGTGTTTCAGAAGCTGAGCAGAAGATGAAGCCATACCTTTTGAGCACATAATTTTATTTTATTCACTTTCATTTGGCAAAAGCCTGGCAAAGGCTGTGAAGGAGGATGGTGATGTACAGAATTAAATGTTAAGATTTCTTACAGCTTATTTAAAAGATACACTTGTATATCATACCGATACTAGTAGAGTTTAAAAATTAAGCTTTGTGGGTAGGAAAGCTACACAAAGATGGTAATTGTAAGTTAGTATTTACCACTTTCATTAAATTTACAGATTTATAATGGATGTTCCAGTAAAAAGAAAAATAAATTAAAAAAAAAAAACACATTATTCTTGTCAAAGTTTACTTATACCTACCCAGAATGAAAGCAGGGAAACTTTCAAAGATTTCTGATGGGTAGGAGAAAATGAAAACAGAACACTGTACCGAAAGCTTCTGAAAAAGTCTAAATACAAACATGAGCTGACAAGCACACCAATGCATTTCACATCTATGTGGATACATATTATTTGTGTTTACTTCTAAGAGCATTACAGAAAGGATTTTAATTACAAAAAAAAAAGAAAAAAAGAAAAAATTGAATTTCTAATGTAACTCAGATATCCACAATAAATAGTTAATGAATCTTATTTCAAATTTAGGTGCTATGTTGAAAACAAACTACTGGACAGTTAAACTTTTATGCAAATTTAATTTCCTAATAGATGTATCCATAGATTTAAACTGGCTATTGTAAAAATGTCTTTTATAGTGAAAAGCTGCTAACACATGATCATGTCAAAATATTGCTCAACTGCAGTAATTAAAAAAAAGAAAAAGTCAACCTTCATTTAAAAAGTGAGTTATGTAAAGGAATAATCCCACAGGCCAAACCAACATTTCCAGATCTCTCTTCCTTTCATTCAGCAAGATCAACTGGCTCCCAGGTACTACCTTTAAATTTTTATCCTGGTGAGTAACCTCTGTTTTTCTGAAAACAAGTGCCAGCCAAGAGAAGTTTGGAAGAAATCCTGAAATCCTGCTTAAGCATTTTATCAAACTCCCAGAGCTTGTGCCCATTTCAAATCCCACCACTGATGTAACAAGTTGCTACCTCATCTTGCTGTATTATGACTGAGCAGGTATCACATCAAACACAAAGCTGAAATCCAGGAAATGGCATAGTTCACCTTTACTGGAAGTAAGAAGAAAAACATCACCAACATTTTTTTCAAGCAATTTAATATTTTTCTCCTCTAGAATCACTGCAAAAGCCTGTCACTTGTACTACTAGTTCATTGTTACTATATAATAATAGGCAAAGGCAAATTTGAGATGGAGGCATTTAGCTATATACATTTGTCTTTATATACATCACACATAATGTGACAGAGGTCAAGACAGTAAGGGGAGATTCTCCAAGCATTACTGATGAAACACAAGCTACTTCAATACCCTCATATAACACTGAAAGAAAGCTTTTGCCTTGCAGTCAAACACAGAACAAAACCTTCTTACACAGCACTATATGGAAGGGAGACACTAGCTGATGACACTCAGAACCTCAGTCCAAAATAATCAGAGGCAGACGCATTATCAGTGCAACACAATTAGGCACTGCGGTATGCCCTAACTGCTGCTAAGAATGAAGCAGATTAAGAGATCAAGTTAAAATGGCTTTACCTGAAGCTAGTAAAGACCCTTCTAAGTAATCATCTGAAGTAGTCTTTTTTTGACAATATAGTTTAGTATAGTTTATTACCATTGCAGTCAGCACATACATTATTTTACATCAGGTTTATGCTGTTCTAGTCCCTTGCTACCCCACAGGAGGAATAAGAAGCACTCTCGTGCCAAGAACAACTCTTTATTTCCTCAGTGGCTTTTCCAAAATGCATTATCTAATAATTACCACACTTAGCTGAAAAATATGTTTCTTAGATGTACCTTTTTCTTGTCCCTGTGCAAGAAACATCCTAACTTTACCACAATTATCCCAGCTTCTGTTTACCCTTGTTTCTGTCTCATTTACACTAACCTGTATGAAAGAGAGGCAGAACATGTGGTTGCTATTTGAAGGTATGTCTCCGTTGACTAGAAGTCAATGTGCATGCCTTCATTAGCCTCGTAAAAGACTAAGTATGATATACAGATGATTGCTAACAGTGTTTTGCCTTAGGATGTCCTGACTCATGTATCCCAGTCCATAATTTTCAAAACTAGATCTTTGTATAAGCACATTTTGAAAGGAGGAGAGCTTAGAACTGGTTAGTAGGCTTGGGACTGGGAGAATTACAGACAAAGAACACAGTTATATAAACCTGTTTTATGGGCAATACTGAAATTGAAATGATCCAAACATCTTTATCTTCATGATAAATGCAACTGGAACAAAAGGTTTTCCCCTCTTCTGAAACAGATATTTAAATGCTCTTTTTTTCAAGGAAACAGCTCTTTCCAAACCTGACCATACCTGAGTGATACAAAGCACCCAAGTGCGAAAAAGTTTTCCATTGTCATAACATAGGCATACTCTCAAAGATTAAGGCTGGTTGTTAGATAAGTACTTCATAGCTCTTCCATGTCATGAAAAGTATCATTATTGTCCAAGAACTACAACATATTCATCAATTCTCAGATTGTTCTTAAAACTAGAAGGAAAAGTTATGGAAAGGGTGAAGCAAACCAGCAGCCAAACTAGCCACAGAACACCAGCTTTTCTGGCACAGCTATATAAAAAGCGAACTGAAAACTATACAGCAAAACATGCACGGAGAGTAGTCGAAGACATGAGCAACATTTTAAGATGGGTAAGCCTGGGCTTCTCCTCAAGATATCTGTGTGAGTGGACTCAGGAGCAGTGATTTAGCACAACTCCCGTTCTCCCAGCTTCATTGCAAATTAAGAAACACACTATTTTCCAGCAGTCTTATTAAATAATTATTTATGTTTGAGAACTGTACTTCTCTATCACAATGAAAAAGCGCTTAAATTCTGCTGAAAATATCAGAATTTAAAGCAGGATTTGGGATTGTGAGCCTGTTTAGGTTTAAATACCTTTATGTTCTTAGAATAAAAATCAGAATTTCAGAATACAAGTTAATGAAAATGCTTAAAAGTTACTTCCAAAATTACATTCAGAATTTGGAAATAAAAGTGTTACTTAAACAAAAGACTAAGAGACTTGATTTCTCAGCCTGTAGTATCTCTATTTAACCTGTTTCTGCTTAAAAGTATCTCCGCTCCCACATCATATAGCTTTGAAAAGCTTTCGGACTGACAATTTTGTGGCATCCAGTGTATCAACTCCTGAGAACTGTTACATTCTTCCAGGCTAAGAAAAGATAAATCTCTCATAAGGTATATTAAAATCCAAAGCACACAGCAGTGCAGTAGTAAAAAACAAAAAAACCCACAACAAACCAAAACCACAGCATTTCTTGGGGTCAACTAAAATACCAGTCTTTGCTCTGTAACATGAGTA